GTATATTAGATAGTTCTTTACGGTGTCACATCTGTATATGGTGCATGCTACTCTAGGAGATCCGCCGATTCCAGCTCATTAAGAGATACTAGAGGAGGAACAGACATAGTTAGATCATGTTGAAGATGTCTTGCCTCGATGTTGTCGCATAATAGAGATTGCACAGGCAGACATTGACACGGGTATCTTTCTCTGGTGGATCTCATGTGAGGCAGGTCTTAGATGCCATCATGATAGAGACACAGAGGCATTGATGTATCAGAGACAGTGTAAGATGACATGGTGGATTAGTGACTAAGGAGGTAGAGGATATGTAGTCAGACATACACAGTAGTGCATTAGTATATAGTAATAGTATTATGAATTGTATTTTATTTTGACACCGTGCTACTTTATCATTGTTCTCAACTTTTTTTGACAATTATTGGTCTTTTATTTATATATGATATTTTTGGACCATCTGGATTTATGAGCGTTATTTTTTACATTTTAATGTATGGTCTAAATTTGCATCTAAATATACATAAACAGAAAATAACACAAAAAGTCCTGTTCTGATACGTACGGAGATGCATCTCTGTAAAATTCACAGAGATGCATCTCTGTAAAATTCACAGAGATGCATCTCCAGGACAATATACATGTATAATAGCTTCTCATAATATGTATTTTAAATTGTTACGAAGATGTATTTCTAAAATATTTTAATGTTCAATCAAAATTTAGTACGACCGAAGATTCATCTTCAAAATCTAAGTACTTTACTTTCGCATGGTGCTTCTAAACATAAAATGTCCATTAAAAAATTCCCCATATATATTACTAAGCCTTAGGAATAACGTTGCTGGTATGCACATGTGATTATAAAAGAAAATTTGTCTTTCAACTATATTTGATCATTAACACCAAGATAGATCTAAACTGTGTTGATGAAAATGAAATTATATACACATATTGACATACACGTGGTAATGGTGTTAGTCCTCAACTCTATCATTTACATTTTGCAACTAGTCATTAAACCTTTGGAATGGTAATATATTCAATCGATTTCGGCGTGCACATAATCGACGAAAACAAAATTCTTTTCTAGTTGGTTTACCGCAAAAGCTAAGGCTGCACTGACAACCGCGAGTCCGGCCAAAACTACACGCAGCTGAGTGTCGGATGGAATCCCAGAAGTTGCACAAAACACAACGGTTGCACCAATCAGAATTTTCTGCCATGTTTTGAATCCCTCATAAGCTCCTTTACAAGATGAACACTTTAGTGTGTGCTGTTCAAATCTATCCAACATCTACCAGGAAACAAAAATGCAAATGATCATCAAAGTTGTGTTGTATTCTTGGTTTTGTAGACAGTAGAAAAGGGTTCATAATGGAATAAGTTGATTGAATTGCTATACCTCACGTTTTGATAGTACGGTTGAAGGTAATGGCTGGCTGCTCTTACTGAACCATTCGGGTTGTCCATTGCCGTGTCGCCTCAGCCAATTTCTAAATGCCAACACAAAACGATCAGCTTGCGTCGGCGTGAAGGTGAGGCTTGTGTACTGTTTGTTAATGTCACCGCCTTGCTCGGTTTGTGCGAGAAAGACTTTTTCTTGACCTTGAAGGACAATCATGTCTCCATCATATACTTTGTTCGAAGTCCAATGTTCATACCATCTAGGAACCACCTGAAACATGAACAAGAGATGACATATATAAGCCTAATGGAACATTGGGTGGTTTTATCGAAAAGAATGAAAACGAAAGCATTGAAAATAGGAATCTTACTTGCCACCAGGCAGGGCCAGGCACTGTGAACTGGAAGAAATTTCGAGCACTGCAAACAATGGAGCGAGTCTTACCAGGTGCCATGGGAACATTGAATGAACATATCCATATTACCCATTTCTGATCACCAACTATTGGAAGTTTGGTATCAATCTCAATCCTGAAGTTATAGAGCTTAAGTTATTGAGATTCGGAATCAACAAACGAAAAAAAGAAAACAGTAGTAGTCTAGCATAAAATAATAGTCTTTTGAAATGCATTTTGAAACATAGCATATAAACAAGAACGAGCAACCATATGATCTTATGATGCTAAATCATCGGTATGTTGAGAAAAATACCCAACTTTTTCCCGTAAAAATGACCATGATCCTGTTTTAGCCATGAACACGGAACATAATTCATATAGAATCCCCTCAATATTTGGATTAGAACTAAATAATGCACATAGGAAAAGAAAACATGAATTCATATCAAAAGTTCTTTAATCCAAAGGCCACTGGCTTACTTGTTGATGTAATAACATGGTGCAACAAATTTGGAACTGATCCTCGGGTTCCCTTCATTAGCTCCTGAAAAGCCCCATGAACCATTCGAATCCATCTTGAATGGAAGCGGCTTGGCTCTATCTCTCCTTCCTGTAACCTATGAAAGGGATATCATAGTTATGTTAGTGATTTCGATAACCTTAATAGACAATACTAAATCATTTCAACTTCTGATACTGCTTATCTCTGTAATAAAAAAATGGAACAACCCAATAGGAACTCCATCAAAAAAATTGGACCACATCAGCATAGTATATTTAATTTAACAATTTCCACTTGCAACAATATCAGAATAAAATATTATGAACAAGCACACTGTTTAAATATAAAATAACATGCACACCTACAAGTCAGGTTGAAATGTGTCATCAGTACCTTGTGATGAGCAAAATCAATGTGGGAAGGATCAGAGACATTCTCCATGAGAGTATCATAGCCATAGAACAGATCGCGCTGAATGTTCACCGTCGCAAACTCCGGTTTTACAAAGTCATCAGGCAACCTAACATACACAATTTTACCTTACAGATCAATAAAGGTACACAACAAAGAGCAATCCGTCGAATATACTATTAATTAGACTTAAGACATGATTTAATCAATCATTACATTGGAGGTTTGGAAGCATTTGCTTTCTCCCAACCATTCTCATCAGGCCAAACAAAGAGCAATCCCTGAGAAACCAAGGTAGGAAACTTGGTTGCACAAGCTCTAGGAGATCGAATGGCACGCGATTCGGGACCTTCAGGTGAAGCCTGAGGGATCACAGCACAACCTCCACTCCCATCAAAAGACCACCCATGATAAGAACACTGCAAGTTTCCTCCCTCATCTATCCTTCCCTCCTGCAAAAAGCAAACAAAACTTAAAGATCAGCTTGAATTGCCTTATTCGAACTTATATACTAGCATAAACACTTGGGAAAGCTTATGAAAATTGTAAGCACTTATACAAACATATTCAATGATCAACAAGAAAAAATTGCACTTACAGATAAAGGGGCGAGACGGTGAGGACATTTATCATCAAAAACAACCCATTGAGATTTGGAGTTATCATACCAAATCACAATTTCACGACCCAGAAGCTGAAACGGTGTGGGCAAGCTAGGGTTCAGATCTTCAATTAACGAAACCGGGTACCAATGATCTCTCCATGAAAACTTGGAGGAAGAACTCTCATCCTCAAATTCATCATCAATTTCGTTCCTTTCAGGTTCTGGGGAGGATTGATTTGGTTCAGTTTTTGTAGGTGGTGCTGCAACGCTTCTAACTGTTAGTGGAAAGGTTTTTCTGTTTCTGTTTCTGGGTGTTGTTGATTTTGTCAAAAATGGTGGTGACTTTTTTGTGAAGGATGAAAAGAGAAGCGGTTTTGGTAAAGCTGAGAGAGTGTGTGGAAGTGCCATCAATGGTTTATTTATTTGTTGTTTGAAGTTTTGAGATGTTAAGGGTGGAAGAACTTTATATAGAGATTGAATTATTCATATCAAATGTAAGAAGAAGAAGAAGAAAACAAGTATTGTTTGAGTCGTGCAAGTTTCAAATGTTTCTCGTATTTTTGTTTTCAAACTAAATGTCTGTTTACCGTCTGTTTTCACATTTCAATGAATCAATTACTGTAGTTGTTGTTAATGTTAATTGAGGTTAACACGTGTAGTAAAACCGTAGAATTATAGGAAAAACATGGTAAATAATTAGTGAAATTAGTATTGTCAAAGTTTGTTGCATGAAAGAATGGTGTGGCGTAATGAAGGACGTCCACAACTTTGAAGAGTATTTAATGGTTGATGTAGCTACTGCCAAGTAGCACACAAGACTTCTAGAAACTTGGAGAAAAACAGTGGGAACAATGAAACTGTGGCTGGTAATGTCTTTATGTGATTGAATTTTGTTTAAAATCTTAATTAACTTCCCTAGTGTGTCATGTGAAAGTGTTGGTTGTTTGGCACCGCCCGATGTTAAACTGAGCCTTAACATGTAGTTAGGCAGGAAGGAGCGAGGGACCAGTTATATGAAAAACGAAATGCATTTTTCTGCCATAAAAAACACAGTATTCTTGTAAAAGATTCTCGAGTCTTCTTGAGAGTTTTAGAGAAAAATGGGTGGCTTTAGAGGAGAGAAGAACATGGGGAGGGGTCATTAACCTTGATATTGTCTTTATATCATATGTCATACAAATCCAAACAAGAAGCAACAGTTAACCCCTTCATTTTGTAAAAAAAAAAAAACAACAAATAACACTTCAGGTTAATAAAATTACCATGAACATACAGAATCAAATTTACAAACCTAAACCTAAACTACACTTTAATTTTACAGCAAATCCAGTTTCATTAGATTGAAAGAATATCATTACAACAAACTGGATAAACCTGTCTCCACTTCCTACATTTCATGCCACAGCAACTAGAGTATGATCCAAAACATTTTATAATTGACTAAGCAGATCAATACAGAACATAAGGCAGTTAACCATACATCCAGAATCAAATTCAATTATCAAGTTAGCTATGTGCTTCTCCTTATCCCTAACAGAATCACATTCAATTCTCAAGTTAGCCATGTGATGCTCCTTAGCCCTAACAGAATCACATACATTATGAAACTAATTATACAAAATTTCAAATATAACAGGAACATAATCTCAATTGGGGCCAAACAAATTCACATCTTTGTTCACTTCTTCTGGTAAGTCTCATGATCAGGACCAACATCGCGCGAACCTGTGTTTATATAAGGTCCTCGAAAAGTAGCTTGAGGTGAAAGTGGTTTTGTTGGATCAATAACCGGTTTCTTTGACGAACTAAACAAAACAAACAAAAAATGCAAATTAACACTTCAAATTCAAGTTCAAGAATACATAATGGAAATTGTGAATTGAACTTACGCCATGTAGAAAGGAAAAGCCATGCCTGCTGAAGCAAAAGCAACTAAACCAGCAGCAACAACTAAATTGCGAGTTCGTGCCATGATTCAAAATTCGCAAACCCTAATGGATTTTTTGAGGGTTAGTAAATAACGATAACGAAATTGTGAAAATTCAAACACTTGAATGAAATTAATTACCTCTGAAATGGTGGAAATATTTTTAATTTTTGTATTATTCTTTCGAAAATCGTTTCTTGCCAAGTATTATGGAGGAATCCATAGAAGCTTCTGCTCTGTGTTTTTCTCTTTGTTCTTCCGATTGGGAAATTGAGACAAGTCGACCAGTTTTTTGATTCGTTGCTTCGGCCCATTATTGGGTTATACATTGTAATCTCTAACCACACCGTACAAATACTTCAACACCCTTATAATTTTCAAAGAAATATAATAGGGGATTGGTCATTACACATTATAATTATAAATCTTTATTTCATGTTATTTGGATGATACCAGGAGCCTCACATATTATAAAATCAGTCTTAATTATATAGTCAAGTAAGACAACAAACAACTAATCATAAACATAATAGACTTTCAAATACAAATTAATGATTAAAACTAACATCCCATAATAGTGAGAAGCGTAGTATAGATTGATGGTTAGATGTTTTCTAATATATAAGATCCTCATTGAGGTAAATGTAGAGCATATTGTCATCTCTGTGAGAAAATTATGATATGAACATGATAACTAAAATTTTAAAAGAGAAAAAAAAATTAGAACATGTTTATATTTTAGCAAACAAAATTGATTTCTTATTTGATTGTGACTCGAACTAATACAAGACATCTTCTTTTATAGCTAAAAAGATGTAAAAAAAGATAAGAAATCCACTATTTACAAACACGTTATCATAAACATTAATGAAATGTTTTTTTTTTAAATGTTTGACACACTTATGATTTATATATACATTATTGTAGTACTATTACACAAGAAAATAAAATATCATTGTTCATAAACATATTTGTAATACATAAGAGACACTTGTTGAATCTGCGGTCCTACATATGATATCTTTGCACAAATATCAATAGAACTAATTTAACAAGATCATTTAATATTAAATTTAGAGTCTCTTTGATAAGATATAAAAAAGAGCTTTTAATTTATAACTTTTACATTTTAAACTCACATTAATAAAAAAGCTCGGTTTGATTTCCCAAAAAAAATAGATTTTAAGCTCATATTCATAAATAAAATAAAATAAAATATATTTTTAGAAAAAAAATAGATTTTTTTTTGAAAAAATCGACTTTTTATTTTTGAAAAAAAATATTTTTTTTAAAAAGTCGACTGTTTTGTTATTTTCAGAAAAATCGACTATTTTTTTATTTTAGAAAAAAATCAAATTTTTTAATTTAAAAAAAGATCGACTTTTTTATTTTCAAAAAAAATATTCTATTTTTTAAATTTATTGTTTAGAAAATTTTATTTTTAAAATTATTTTTCAAAAAATATTGTAAAAAAAAATAACTAAAAAAACTAAAAAAAATTTCTAAATAATTAGATTTTGAGTCCTTACTTAAAACTTATAAAAAGAAAAAAAATATAAGGGGCATAAAAATAAAAGAAAAAAATATTTATATAGTAAGGGGCAAAAAAGAGAATTTCTTAATCCACTCCTTGATAGTCTTAGGTACCTAGCGAAATTCCTTTTATGCCCCTGCTTCCGGAGATATATATCCGAACGCACCATTTTTTTTTCTTTACGCTGGATGCTTCCGGAGACACATCTACGAAAAAAGTTCTGTGGATGCATCTCTAAAATCTTATAAGAATATGTTTTAAAAAAAATCAAGTTTTGTTAGTCGCAGATGAAAATTAACTGTTGCTGATGAATATAAAATGACATACATCCGTAAATAAAATAATATGATATATATAAGAAGTCATGTGTCATAATCATCATCAAAAAATAGTACATCAATGTCATTAAAATATAGTACAAAAAAAAACATCATTGTCACTACTGGGTGTGCCTGACAAAATCTGCATCCCTTCTTCCGCTTATGCCTCTGCCGCCTCGTCTGTCTCTGTCACCTCCTCGACCGCCCGACTTACATCTTTGGCCATCGATCTCACCCGTCTTGGCGCGATGTCTGCGGTACATAAGTGTCAAGGCTGCCACCACAATCATGGCATCCAATACACGCCTGTGGTCAGACCCCTCAGGGAAGAAATCGACGACAATGTCTGCTCGTCCCATCTCCACTATCTGACGACAGCGAGGCAGGACATCCTGATTGTGGTCTAAATGAGATTGTTGCTCCTCTAAGATCTCCTGATGAGCTGGTCTAGACGGCGATTCTTCGGCAGTGGGCACCATATAGAGGTGTGAGATGGTGAAGAACCAGATGATGTAGCCATCGACGCAACTCCAGTATCTCGGCGCTCTGGTCACCCGAGCCTCGTCAGATACCATGTGCCTCTGGTAGTCGGCATAGATCTCATATATCTACATACAGGTTAAGCCAAGAGAGAGACAACTAGGTGTCTGAGAATAGTCTGAGTGTAGCTGAACTGCCGCATGACATGCTCGGGCAAATATGGAACAGTGATGGTCGAACTGCATGCCAATCATCTTGCGAATAAGGAGATGTTGTCAAACGGACGCGTCACACGATGATCAGCATAGACATTGTACCGGATGTCCTCAGCAGCCAAGCGATCGAGATAGACTTTATAAGGATTGACCACTAGTTCCCCCTGAGCGGGAGGAAGGCACGGCCACGCGACATCAGCTCTATGTAATCAGGCACACTCCTCCACCCGACGATCATGAGAAAGTGTTGGAGTATCCAAGCCTAAAATGAAAATAAAAAACATCAAGATCAAGCATTATCACGAATATAGAATTAAAAGAAATGAAAAAAAGTCGAAGGATATAAGATTGTTACCACAAGTAGTGCCAGGCTTCCTGCCACAGTCCTGGTCTTTCACAGTCATCCCTCTCCCAGCCTCAAATACGTGTAAGCCAGGGTAGCCGCCGCCTAGTTGTACTCATGGATCCGTGTGGAATCCAAAAAGTACCTCAGGTAAGCGACATTTGTATATGTGGAGGAAATGTCCACAAACAGCTGAGTTCCGACTCAAAATAGAAAATAACATCTCAGCACACACTGCCTGTGTATCTCAACCTCATCTGGATCACCATCTTCCTGGCGTGCAGCAACGGGCGCCTCACCAAATTTATGCGTGAGAAAGGAGAACCTCACATGATCCCCTCTGGTTTTATCCACCTCCTCAAGCGCATCCAGTGGATCAGCCTCAAGCTCCTCAACCAACATCTCTCTTGCATCCTCCTTCATCATCTTACCGTGATGGAGAAGGGTACCCATGATCGATATATGTAACAGACAGGAGATGTCGTCCAGTATGATCGTGAGCTTGTTGTATGATAGATGGAAGGAGGACGTCACACGGTTCTATCTCTCTGTTAACCCCATTAACATCCTGTTATGGATCAGGCTGTAACCGATCTTACAAAGGTCCTTCAAACTAGAGGCGACAAGGAAATCCTGGAACCAAGCCTCATGTGGCTGCTCCAAAGATAATATCTTCCGCCCATGGTTATAGAACTTTTGCGGATGACGAGTCTGAAAATTTCCATAAATAAGAAACAATGTTAGTAAGAAACAATTGTACAAATTATAAATTTCCAATGAAAAAAAAAAGAAACAATATGAGTAATGTTACCTCTCCATCTCAGACATGTCTGGCAGTATGGTCAACGTACCCTGACAGCATGGACATATCTGAGGGACCTCCTAGGAAACCCTCAGGCTCATCATCATTATCATCACCAGCATCCTCCGGTGTCAGGTCATCACCCTTTAGAGGTGGCACCAGATCATCGGTAGGAGGAGGACCAAGAGTATCCCGACGAGGCCTGCGGGAGGACGGGGCCTGTGATGAACCCTCAGCTGAATCCTGACGCCTCTGGGATGAAAAAGTGGATGATGGGGGTAGGCTACGAGGTCGAGAGAATATCATGGGCATGTGATGAAGAAAGATGTGCCTCAACTGTATCAGCCTCGGTAACGGTGGCCTTACTTCGCTCGCGTGTCACAGATGCATGCTATGAAACTCGTCCAAGTTGCAATCTATCTTTTCTATCTACCATAATGTCTGTAAGGTATAACTAAGAAAAAACAATTAGATAAAAACAAATTAAAAAAGAAAAAAGAAAAAAAAATCAACATTTTTTTACTTCCGGATGTGAACATACAGAAAACTTTCGTATATGTATCTGCGGAAGAACCCAGAATTCAGACAGTTTGATTTGTTCCGGAGCTGCATCTACAGAATTTCCCTAACGTTAATTTTTTCCGTAGATGTAGCTCCGGAACTTCCTGCAACTCCAACCGTCACGACAATGACATCCCCTACCCATGAAAATCGGTTTTTTAGAGCCCTGATCGTTTGTTTCAGCCAACAAACAACCTACATTGTCTCTAAACTATATTTCTAAAACTATCTAAGGATTTCTACCCCTAAAACTATATTCTAACTCGTTTATGGGAAATATTCAAAAATACATCGGAAACTTGAAAACTTTATTGAAAAAATTTAAGTTTGGTGGAAAAAGATTTTTTGACGATTTTTTGAGAGAGTTTGGAGAGTGAAGAAGATGAAAAATGAAGAATGAGAGAGGAGAAGGTACTCTGACGCGAATGTATTCCAATTTGTTATAGAGCTATGTAAACGGAAACATTTCGTAAATGTAATTTTGGAAAAAAACCAACTTTGAGTAAAAAAAGATGCATCCGGAAATACACCACCAAAAACAGAAAGATATTTTTGAAAGCACACATATTGCTTAAGAATCCCAAAGAGTGGAGTAAAAAATTCTCTAAAAAATAAACTCAAATAAAAGTCTAAAATATTAGAACTATGTTATATACGACTTTGTTTACCCTTTAAATTAAAGACTCTTGGACAAAGCATAAGGAAAAAAGAATATATAAAATTGAGAAGAGATCAAATCCTAACAGAAACACACATACTTGCAAGTCTTGCCAACCAACGTCGATAGAATTATTGAATAATGTTCTTGTGAACAATTATATTGTTTATTTATTTTGATATTAATTTGTTCATAATCATAAAAGTTATATGGTCTAGAATATTTTATTCACATTTTATTCTATAATTATGTTTATTTATGAAGATTTTGACAAAAAGTTATTTATTGTCTTATTTAAGAGTAATTATTATGGTTTGAAAATCCTAACTCAATTGATAAATATTTAAATTATTTATTAAGTATTAATAATTAGATTTAAATTAGGGTATTCAAAATAGATAACTTTTTAATAATTATTATTAATTTGTCTACAATTAAAAGGATACTAATTATTTATTAATTTTCTCTCTCATATTAAGTTTTATTAGTACACCTTCAATCTCTTTATTATTAAAAAAACAAATTTTCTAATTTTATTTTAGTAATGAACATGTTTATACCAAATTAAAAAACGAATAAAAATTATCTCCATCATCATATGTAAGATATATAAGACATGTATCTACATTTTTTTTATATTTATTTATAAAAATTGATCTTGTCAGAAATCTCATCACTTATGGCCATATGTTATAGCAATATGTCAATTTTGGTTAGTCGGAGTTTGACGAAGGATTTTAAGGTGGGAAGAGGATTAAGGCAGAGAGATCCACTTTCTCCTTTCTTTTTTGTGATTATTACTGAATATCTGTCAGAGCTGTTAAAAATTGCTTCTGTTAGAGGAGATTTCAAAGGATTCAGTGTGCAGGAGGGGTTATCAACTGACATAATTCAATTTGTGAACGATACTTTTATTGTTGGATCAGGTTGTATTCAATTTGTGAACGATACTTTTATTGTTGGATCAGGTTGTGGGAAGAATTTATGGAGCATTAAAGCCATCTTAAGAGGGTTCGAACTTGTTTCTGGATTGGGAGTTAATTACCACAAGAGTAGGTCGATCAATATCAATGTTAGTAATTATTTTCTTCTAGCAATTTCTAATTTTTTGGTTTGCAAGTTACAGGATCCAAATTTTAATTTCCTTAGGATTCCTACTGGTTCAAACATGAGGAGGATAAATCTGTGGTCTTATATCATTGATAACTTTAAATCGAAGTTGGCTTTGTGGAGAGGGAGATTTCTTTCTTTTGGAGGTAGAATTACTCTCATCAATGCGGTCCTAAGCAGTCTACCTATCTTCATATTTTCTTTCTATAAAGCCCCCGTGAAAGTGTTGAAAAAAGTTGATAAAATTCTTCAGAGATTTATTTGTGGCGGATCAGATGAGAAATAAAAGATTCATTAGGTTAGATGGGATCTAGTGTGCAAAGTTAAAGAATTAAGAGGTCTTGGTATCAAAAGCATTGAAGAATTCAGTTTGTCCCTATTGTCTAAAGGTATGTTTGGATTGCTGGTATATGATGGAATGAAATTGAGTAAAGTGGTAACTAATGTGATTTCATTATTTGGATTTGCAAATAATGGATGGAATGGAATGAAACATGATATAATCCATTCCATCCAAATTGGGGTGTATGTGATGGAATGCGATATTTTTAATAAGATATCCAAACAATGGAGTGGGATCTATATTTCATTCCACTATGATATGTTCCAATATGCTTTTCTATGTTCCACTCCGTTCCGTTATGTTCTATCAATCCAAATATATCCTAAATGGAAGTGGATAATCTTAGTTGAAAAGGAGGTCGTTTGGAAGAGATAATCAAGGCTAGTACAGTGCTTGCGAACATTAAATCTTTACGGATCAATGTTGAAGAATCAAAATCTCGTCATCAATTTAGTGGAAGGATGTGACAAAAATTAGAGTCTTATATAATAATTTGGATTTTGATTTTACATGTTCAATTTTTTACAATCTTGGAGAGGGACCTCATACCCCTTTCTAGTCTGCTAAATGGTGTGGTATTACACCCCTGGTGGACCTATTTCTAGACCTTTTTCTTTCAGCATGGCTAAAGGTGCTTTCATGATTGACTTGGGATGTTGGCATTATGATATTTAGAGTTAGGGTGTTTGTGGTATTTATCTATAGCGTCATGTCTTAGCTGGTAGGAAGCTGCAGCTTATGCATGAATTTTCATCTGCTTTCTCTTTTGTCGCAAGTGCAGTGGAAATAGTGAATTGGAGAAATGTTGAATCCACTCCTTATTCAGAAAAACAAGGCTATGAATGCCTCATAGAGGCAAAGGTTCAAGTCATGTTGGAGGAGGAACATTGAAATGCATTATGCTCTCTTTGGAAGACGCCAGTTTCGGCTAGAATTAAAGCTTTTGGGTGGAGGGTTATATTGAACTGATTGGCCATGAAATATCAATTAAAAAAAACAAGTTTATGCCTCTAGACTCTGTTGGTGATTTTAGTATCATCAATGTATTTTAGTAGTAATGTGATTTATTGTAGGGCGATGCAATTATGTGTTAAGCTTGGAAACGAGTTAGGGTAGTGCGGAGTGCACGCTCGTCGAGCCAACGTGTAATTGAATGTGAATAATTGAAAAGGGGTTCCAAGGGGCAAAGCCCCTGGCGGGGGTGTGGGGCAGCTCCCCGTGGGGTTCCAAGGGGCAGAGCCCCTGGCTGGGGTCCCGCTGCCAGGTCAGCTGGCGGGGTGCAGGGCAGCGCCCTGTTCGAAAGTTTTCTGAACAGTTGAACCCGTTCGAAAGTTTTCTGAACAGTTGAACCCGTTCGAAATTTTTGAACAACTGTGTCTTTTCGGTTTCTGTTATTAATCTCCTATATAAGGAGTCATTTGGCCTCAGTTTTAACACACAAAAAACAAAAACCATACTTTCTCTCTACATTCCTGATCTGTTCTCCATTGCCAGAAGCAGATTGTTCTTCAAGAATTATCTCCACAAAGATTTCGTGAACCCAGGCAAATAATAGGGTCGAAATACTTTGTTCGGAAAGTGTACTAACACGATTCCTCGAAGTTATCCAGGATTATCATACTCAAATTTCTAACAAACAAACAAAGTATTTTCTGATAATCATGGCTGGAGGAAGCACCATCAAGGAGATGACTATGAATTTCGGAAAATTGGACAAGTTTCAAGGACAAGACTTCAGGCGTTGGCAGAAGAAGATGCATTTCATGTTGACAACGTTGAAGGTAGCGTACGTCCTGTCTACACCGATTCCAGAACTTCAGGAGGAAGACACGGTTGAAAATCTGAGACGCAGATCAAAGTGGGAGAACGACGACTACATATGCATAGGGCACATTCTTAACGGTATGTCTGATCCCTTATTTGATATTTATCAAAACATGGAATCTGCAAAGGAATTGTGGGATTGTCTCGAATCCAAGTATATGGCAGAGGACTCGTCCAGTAAAAAGTTCCTGGTAACCGATTTCAACAATTACAAAATGGTTGAATCGAGGTCTGTCATGGAACAATTCAATGAACTCCTCTAAATCCTTGGACAGTTCACACAACACGGATTGAAGATGGATGAAACAATATCTGTCTCAAGTATCATAGACAAGTTGCCTCCTTCGTGGAAGGATTTCAAACACAATCTGAAGCATGGAAAAAACGAACTATCTTTGATCCAACTTGGAAGTCACTTGTGCATAGAAGAATCTCTAAGAGCGCAGGAGGGTGACAAAGGAAAAGGCAAAGAAATTGTTGGACCCTCGGTTAATATGTTCGAAGAGTGTGGTAAGAACGATAACAACAAAAACAAAGGAAAGAAGCGTGCTTTCAAGAACAAAAATGGCAGTTTCGGTGCTAACAAGAAACCGAAACTAGAATGCTGGAAGTGTGGCAAAATAGGCCACTTCAAGAAGGATTGTCGTTCCGGAAAAAGGCACGATAACGCGAATGCAAGTGGTTCAGGAAAGGGGTCTAAGGACCAATCCAAAAACCAAGGTCAGAAATCAATTCGTGATTTGAATAGTTTGATTAAACATTCGGTTTCACTAAATTCTGAAGCATTTTATGTGTAGGATGATGTTATCGCATGATGGATTGACTCTGGCGCCACAACACATGTTTGCAAGGATCGTTTTTGGTTCAAGACTTTTGTTCTAATGGAAGATGGTTCTGTCCTCTACATGGGAGATGATCACTTCGCTCCCGTTGAAGGCAAAGGAAACGTGGTGCTAGAATTCAGTTCTGGAAAGACTATTACTTTGTTTAATGTTTTGTATGTTCCTAAACTATGTAAGAATTTAATTTCTGGTCCTGTATTAAATAAGCTTGGATACAAGCAAGTGTGTGAATCCGATAAATATGTATTATCGAAGTCTGGTGTGTTTGTAGGATTTGGATATTACAATAATGGTATGTTTATGATGAATTTGAATGGAGTTCCTAATAATTCTGGTTCTGTATTTATGTCCTCTTCGAATATTATCAATTCATCGTTATGGCATGCTCGTCTAGGACATGTACATTATAAAAGAATGCATGAAATGTCTAAAGATGATTTTATTCCTGTTTTTGATGAAAATGTAGAAAAGTGTAAAACTTGCATGTTAACAAAGATCACTAGGCAACCTTTTAAAAGTATAACAAGGAAATCTATCATTCTTGAGTTAATACATAGTGATTTATGTGATTGCATGCTACTCCATCATTAGGGCATAAAAAATATTTTGTCACTTTCATAGATGATGCGTCTAGATTCTGCTATGTTTATTTGTTGCACGCTAAGGACGAAGCCTTAGATAAATTCAAAATTTATAAAACTGAAGTTGAAGTGCAACAGAATGTGTTGATTAAAACATTACGTACAGATAGAGGTGTTGAATATTATGATCCTGTATTTTTCCAATCCGTAGGAATCATTCATGAGACTACGGCACCTTATACACCTCAACAAAATGGTGTGGCTGAAAGGAAAAATAGAGTTCTTAAAGAAATGGTGAATGCCATGTTATCTTACTCTGGTTTGAGTGAAGGGTTTTGGGGAGAAGCTATGTTAACGGCTTGCTATTTGTTAAATAGGGTTCCTAATAAAAGGAACAAAACTACCCCATATGAACTTTGGTATAAGAAACGACCCAACTTAACATTTCTACGTGTTTGGGGCTGTAGGGTCATGGTTAGACTCCCGGACCCAAAAAGGAAAACTTTGGGTGAAAAGGGTGTATCTTGCATCTTTGTTGGATATGCTGAGCACTCCAAGGCCTATAGGTTTTATGTTATAGAACCTAATGACTCGATTTCTATTAACACGATTATAGAATCAAGAGATGCCATATTTGATGAGAATTGTTTATCTTCTATACCTAGACCAAAGGACTTTATACCTAATTCAGATGAATCTCTAAGGGATGATCATTCAAATGATGTGCCAAGTGAGACAGTTGAACCCCGTAGGAGCAAAAGAGCCAGAAAATCTAGATCTTATGGATTTGATTTTCAACTATATCTAGTTGAGGGATCAAAGGATCAGATTGATGCTCAATATTATTATTGCTATAGTATAAAGGAGGATCCAAGAACGTATGATGAAGCTGTGAAATCTCGAGATTCTGTTTTTTGGAAAGAAGCAATTGATGAAGAGATTGGTTCTATCATGGAAAATAATACTTGGGTATTATCTGATTTACCACCAGGCTGCAAACCATTGGGTTGCAAATGGATCTTCAAAAAGAAGATGAAAGTCGATGGTACAATTGACAAGTTTAAAGCTAGATTAGTTATCCAAGGCTTCAGACAAAAGGAAGGGATTGATTATTTCGATACCTATGTTCCAGTTGCCCGTATCACTACTATTAGATTGTTGATTGCCTTGGCGGCTATTCATAATCTAGTGATTCATCAAATGGATGTCAAAACAACATTTCTGAATGGTGATTTGGAATAAGAAGTGTATATGAAGCAACCTGAAGGATTTGTAATGCCTGGTGATGAGCATAAAGTGTGTAAGCTAGTTAAGTCGTTGTATGGGCTGAAACAAGCTCCGAAACAGTAGCATCAAAAGTTTGATGAGGTTGTTTTGTCTAATGGTTTCATTCTAAACCAAGCTGACAAATGTGTATATAGAAAATTTGATACACCCGGTAAAAGAGTTTTCATTTCTCTATATGTTGATGACATGTTGATCTTTGGCACCGACCAAAATCAAATTGATAAAACAAAGAATTTCTTGTCATCAAAGGTCTCTATGAAGGATATGGGAGAAGCGGATGTTATTCTTGGTATCAAGATTAAACGGGAGAATAAGGGGATTGTAATTACACAATCTCATTACATTGAGAAAATACTCAAGAAGTTCAATTATGAAAGTTGTTCTCCAGTAAGTACTCCCATGGATCCGG